GGCGGCCTGGGCAGCCCCGCCGCTCTGGCCGGCGCCGGGCGGGTCCCCGAGCTGGCCCGAGGGGACGGGCGGGAAAAGCGGGAGGGTTGGCTGCCCGCCTTGGGACTCAAGGGAAAGCGAATGCCCTTCGGCGTAGTAATAATAACAACAGTGTCCGCCCATCCCGGAGTGTTCCGCGGGCTAAATGCGTCTGGGGGACGAGCAAGACCAGCCCCAGCCGCCTCTTTAGGTCTAATAATAGGCGGTGTGGGTGCCCTGGCTGGGAGCAGCGTTATGCCATGGTCTGGAATGGGAAGTGATCGAGATTTTAGTAATTTAATAAAAGCTTAAGGTAATCAAAACTAAGAAAGAACTAAGCGTTAATTAAAAAAGAAGTTACGGTTAAGTGCTAAGAGTAACTTTTATCATAATTCTTTTGCAGATTATGAAATTACTGTTACCTGTTTTCTCAAAGTCTGGAGCAGAACCAAGTCTTCACGAGAATTTTTTGCCAATCACCTATGAAGCTCCTGATTTTAAAGTTGCTCTTCTGCAATGAAGAAAAGGAGACGGCTCGCTGCAAATCTAAACGAAAAGGTTCATCTTGGCCATGAGAAAGATACTTCAGAACAGATTCTTGTAGTAGACTGTGCACAAGAAATTGTCTCAAAGTCTGCAGAAATAGCTCCTGCGGATCAGCTTGAATCTTCTCAAGAACTTTCACCATCATCAGAACAAAGAAAGCTCCTAAGCTCTTTGCAGTATAACAAAAATCTACTTAAATACTTAAATGACGATAGACAGAAACATCCATCATTTTGTGATTTACTCATAATTGTAGAAGGAAAAGAATTTAGTGCTCACAAAGTTGTAGTGGCTGTTGGGAGTAGTTATTTTCATGCCTGTTTGAGCAAAAATCCAAGCACTGACGTCGTCACATTAGATCACGTAACTCATTCTGTCTTTCAGCATTTGCTTGAATTTCTCTATACCTCTGAGTTTTTTGTATATAAAAATGAAATTCCATTAGTGCTGGAAGCAGCAAAATTTTTAGACATCATAGATGCAGTGAAGTTACTAAATAACGAAAGCGTTTCTAACGTAAAGACTGATGTGGTAACTGATGCCCCTACACCAGTAGAAACACTCAGTGAACTGACAGGTAAACTATTAAATAGTCATCAGTGTACTTTTTGTGGTAGAAGCTTCTGCTACAAGAAGTCCTTAGAAAATCATTTGGCTAAAGCCCACAGATCTCTTTCACTGGAAAGAAAGCATGGAATAAAAATGGTTGAGAAGGCCGACTTTTCCACTAGACGTTCCATGAGAAACCGTAAATGTCCAGCTAAATTTGATAACAGTGACAATGAAAGTGGTGATGCCTCTGACAGTAATTTGGAAAAAGTCAGTTCTGACAAGGAAACTTCTGATAGAAGTGAATTTGGAGACAGTGAAAGTGAATGCCATGCTGATGAAGAGGAACAGGAAGAGGAAATGTCAGGTGAAGATTCAGAGTCTGAAGAACAAAGTGAAAAAGAACAGAATGATACTGAAGAGGGTTCCGAGGCAGTTGATTCAGTGGGAAATATTCCTGAAGGCTTAGCTCCAGTCATCATTCAAAGCAGTAGCAAAAAACTATTGCAATGCCCCAAGTGTGACAAAAAATTTGATCGAATAGGTAAGAGCAATAGGTCGATCTGTTTCCTTTTCACCGTGTGGTGGTGCTGTTTATATGGGAAATAAACTGAGCTTTTTCTCTGTCTCAGAAAGTGAAGATCAGAATTTCTGGATCATCTCGCTGATCCACTATGCTGCTAATTTTTCAAAATGTATTAAGTTGTTATGACTGTGGTGCTAAACAGTTTCAATAAATGAACCGAGTACATTACTTGAAAAATCTGCAAATGCTAAATTTATTTCTCTGTCACTGCTCTGGATTCTGGTTGTTAGTATGGTATGTAAAAGCACCACTGAAAAAGGAGGGAAATACAGCAAGATATTAAATGATAAATTGCACAAAGTCTGAAACTTGTATTTTCTGTCAAATTAATTTTAAGTAACAAAGCTGTCATTATTGCTGAAGTAAAACAGCACATTGTCAAACAGCCTGAAATTCTTCTATTCTGCATGTTGTGTAGATGTGTAGGACCTAGTCACTCTGACTTCTAGCTTGATTTTTCTGGTCTGTAGTTTACACCAGGTAATACCTCTCATCAGCTTAATATGGTCTATTAGGATTGTTTATTTTTACAGTCAAATCTAGGTGTATAGTTACTCGGGATAGCAGAAGAGTAAAAAGTCCAGCTTTTCTGTCCTGCTTTCCCACATTAGAAGTAAATTACTACTGTACCCTAGAATTTTACTGTTCTTCAGCTGGAATAAATGTTGAATTATGGTCACATGAGATATTCACTTCCTTTCAATCATGGACATTAGGAAAGAAACAGTTCCTCATAGTGTTAAGCGTTTTTTGGTGGTCTTACAATAGATGCATTGTATCTTTCATCACTTTGAAATTATAGGAGTTTATGAAAATGGAGTGCTGCTGATGTGTGTCTTAATTCCACTCACACAGTGTGCTCAGCTTGTTGAAGTGAAATTAATTTTCGAAGGCCACAAATTGTATCATAGAAGCTATTTAACGTTAAAAATATGGAACTTGGCTGTACTTACAATGCCATATCTTAAAATTAAAGCAACATAGGAATTTTTTTTAACTTGAGAGCTTTGTTATTAATATTGAAAGACTGCTGTGCACAAATAAGTGGCATGTGAGCATTTAGTATTTTTTTTTTCTTTATCTAACTCTGGGAAGTATGATGGATATTCTATAGAGAAAAAGAATTATCTATTAAAGCAGAGAGCCTGCTATTGACTTTAGGTAGGTAGGTCCTTGGTGTAGGACTGGTTTTTATCCTCGGGGGGGGAAAAAACTGGCAAACAGAAGAGGGAATACAAACAACGTGAAAGAAATGGGAGAGTAATATTTTTGTTTATAGCAATATCTTGGGTCCCAAATACAGATCATTTGCAAGAGTCTGTATCATTCATTCAGTGTTTTGTTATTTGAAAGTACCTTAAAAATACTAGTTTGTTGCAAGGCTGTTCCCTGTTCTGAAGAGATACTTCACAATCAGTGTAATGAAAGAGTAGTAGTATAACTTTCAGTACTTAAGAACAGAATATGCAGGAGGGTTGAACAAGAGGGACTTGTAACCCTTGCACAGATGGAACAGTAATGCAGAGCTCTTTTATTTTTAATCTTTATCTTAAAAATAGTTAAGGTGGAAGTGTGTGAAGGAACCTTGGATCAAACACGTATGTCATGGCCATGCAGTTTTCAGTGGTGTAAACCAGTGGAAATCTTTAGATGTGTGTGGAAGGCACTTAAATCTTGACCACATTTAAGAGAGATACTCTAGAACAAACCCCAAATGTGTGTATTGGAGATAATACCTGTGACAGTTGATGCTAACTTTTTGTTGTTGTTGTATAGGGAAATACGAGAGCCATACACGTGTACACACGGGTGAGAAGCCTTTTGAGTGTGACATATGTCATCAGCGCTATTCAACAAAGTCCAACCTGACAGTGCACAGAAAGAAGCACTCCAGTGATACTGAGTTTCATAAAAAGGAACACAAATGTCCCTACTGCAATAAGCTACATGCAAGCAAAAAGACTTTAGCAAAGCATGTGAAGAGGCAAGTATGAGCAAGTTTGTCTCGTGTTTCTGAAGAATCATTTATTTCAGTTCAAAACCAAAGATAAATGTATGTATGCACACAGCATACTGTGCCCTATTTCTATAACTGTTTTGGGTTTTTTTCAGATAAGTATCTTTTCAGAGGACACGGGGATTAGCGATATCAACTGACCTGCCACAGGGAGTGCATAGGGACTGACTAAATAGCAATGGCAGTTCTGTGGGAGTTCTACCATAGGTTTTTACTATAAGTTTTAGAATGCTCAGGTTAGCTGGCACAGTCAGTCAGAACACAACAGTCTTAATTACCTGTGTTGCTTTTAATTTGGAGGAAGAATAAAATACCTTCTTTGGTTTTAGATGTTGATGCTATACTGTTGATAATAGATGGATAAACCATTTCCATGCAGATTCTTTTAGGTGAATAATTTGCTTGTGACAGATCCAATTATAAGGTATTATTTACATACCACTTTTTTTTCTTTCATTGTAAATAGCCATAAACCATTATAATTGAAACTGTCTTACCAATTGTCGTATGAGATTCTAGAGGAGCCCATAGTCAACACTGCTTGCCAGTTACTTGTGCCTTTAGAATTTTTGCATCATCGGTATTCTGTTCTGCTGGTTGGTGATCAGCTTTCATGACACATGAAGTTTAGAAATGGATATTTAGTATTTGGGTGATCTTCATCCTAGAAAGTTATAACTACTTTCAGCTACTGTCTTTCTCCTAGGTTTCATCCAGAGAATGTACAAGAATTTCTTTCCATTAAGAAGACAAAGAGTGAAGGTTGGAAATGTGACGTAAGTAACACTTCAGTGCTTTTGTTTTCTTCCTATAGCTACTAGGTTGTTTTGTGACTTGAATACTTAAGCGAAAATATGGTATGTGTTTCTGTGACATCTCTATAAGCTTTGTAAGTGAGGGTATAAATTTCCTCTTTATGTCCTGATTTAAAGACCGAACTTTATTCTGTATGTACAGCTTGTGACCAAGTAGATAATACCAAATTGAGTTCTAAAATAGTGTAAGGCATTATCTTTTCATGCGATCAGCTATTAACTGTTGTGAAAATACATCAATTTGCAGATTGATAGACTTGGTTGTTATGAATATTTTAGAACTAGAGTATTTGTTCTCCCATTAATTATGCACATCAAACAGTGACCGTAAGGTACCTATTTTGGAAGGCTCTCTCAATAGCGAGGAAAATATATGTTAAATAAGAAACACTTTCTTATTTAGCTGCATATGCACATCAGCAGAGTTGTAAATTTGTACTAAATTTATCTCTAGCTGTAAAATCGTAGAATCCTTTCCTTGATTTTCCCCAGGAGAGGTGTATGTGCGGAAGTACATCTACTGTAAAAAGGAATTTGTGGAACTTCAATTCTCTATCTGTCTGCTGCCAAATAGTGTTTTGAGGTTTCAAATGTGGGTTTGTTTGGGGTTTTTTGTTTTTAAGGATGTGAGTTTACTTTTTATTTTCAGGGCAGTTGTTTTGTTTATGCGAACTGCTATATGCCCCTACATGTTTGTAATATTAGATGCCACAACATAATTACTAATCTTGCTTTGTTTATGAACTTCCACTTATAAAGGTGTAGTAGGAGGTTGGCAGATGTCACCTGTAGGAATTTGTAGTGTTCATCTGCTGGTGATGGTACCATGGTTGGAAATACTACGTGGTTGACCAAAGGGTGTTATCTTCTAGGTGAAGTTATGATGTGTGAACATATTACAGATACTATTTGTTACTAAATAAGAAACATTTTACTAGTGGGACTCAATCGTGCAACATTGTTGATGTTGGTTTCTTGGGAAGTACCCTCACTACATGAATGATTTGGTGAACTAAACTTTGTGGTTTGTTTTTTTAAAAAGTGAGTCGCTGCTTTTGTACTGCTCATGCACATTGAAAATGGACTTGAATTGAAAGCAGGAGCAGAATTTTAGCTTTTAAAGCAGTTGGAGAATAAGCAGAACCCTTAGGAGCTGTGACTTTGTTTTCAGATTGTTTAGTATGTTCTGAGGGCTGAAGTGCCACAGACGTAAGCTGCAGGATTCCTTCAGGTTGTTGGTTTATGCTGTAGTCCATGTGAGCACCAGGATTGGGGGACCATACTTTAATCCTTGAGGAATATGAACAAATTCACAGCAACAGTCTAGTATTAATAGTAGAGAAAAGCAAGAAAGCTATTATACTTTTTACACATATGGGATTTTCTTATATTTAACATTAATGAGTTTTTAAACAAGTAAAGCTGTTGCTTCGGAGTTTTTGAGGCTAAAAGAGTGTTATTTAGGTGTGTTCCAAGAAACTGATTGCACGATTTAATGTATGGGAGTTAGATAGTACTAAATTCAGCTACTATAAACAGTGGCAACAATTTCACTATGAAATCGCTGAGCAGCGTGTTGATTTAGGTTAAAGCATAGGACCTTGATGTTAAATTGCAATACCTAGTTTGAATACATAACTTGGAGCTCTGGCTTCAATTCTGTAATTGAACTGCACGCTTACTTTAATGACTACTAGTAATTCTTGAACACCTAGGTTTTGATTAATCTGAAAACAGTACTAAAAAGCTCACATAATTTTAACATGGCAAAAGTTTTGTATCTCTAAAATATATTTTGAGTTGTATTTCTTTGTTGGTATTGGCATTTTCTCTTTAATACATGCTGTCAGAGAATTTCCCAGAGGAAATAAAGGAACAGGTATGACTCTAGTTCTGCAATAGCTTATACTATCACAGCTTTACCACAGTCCAGTTGAGCTGTTTCAGCTTCCAAATAGCCAAAGCTATTTGCTTTCTTTCTGTCGGGTTATTTTCTGCTGAGATGCTGTGTTGAAACACCCTAGCAAAAGAGTCTGGTAAGGACTGGAGTCAGTAGAAGGAGGTGGGGGTGGGACATTTAACTGTATGCAGGAGTTGCCAGTAGTTTGATTCAGACTGCCATGGATTGGCATCCTAATTGATATAGTGCAATCCAGTTGAGTTTATGTAGAAAGCAGATTTTTTGATGTTGACTGCAAAGCTTTACAAGTTGGGATAGGGTGTGCTTGTGAATAATACATATTTAATCTTACATTGCTGCAGAAAGCACATGAACTAAACTGTTAAAGAGTTTATGAATAGGGAAAAAATCTGGTTGTAAGTGATGTATCTTTGACAAAGTGTATTATCATTTTAGATTTGTAAGAAATCTTTCACTCGAAGACCTCATTTAGAAGAGCATATGATCCTTCACTCTCAGGATAAACCTTTTAAGTGTACCTACTGTGAAGAGCACTTTAAATCCCGATTTGCAAGACTGAAACATCAAGAAAAATTCCATCTCGGTATAGAAACCTCCTTCTGACATGTAAACAATAGATTTAAAGTAAAACCTTCCTCCACCACTGTATGTCCTGATCAGTCTGGTTTCCACCCCCACCTCCTTTTCCAGTTCTCTCTTTCCCAGTTTTGTGGAGCAGTTGGTGGGGTTTTTTTGTTTTTACTTTTCTGTTCAACTGTCTTTTTGAGGCTTTGTGTTGTACATAAATAAATTACAAATTCTGAAGGGGAAGAAGAATTAAAATTAGTTTTGGTTTAAAACTTTTTTGCATGAAATTGGTTCTCAACTATAGAGTCAGATTCTTCCTGAAGTTTTCCAAATATCTTTTTCTTTCCTCCTGAAGTATTCCAAAGACATTTTCATTACTGATTTCTGCCAAGTAGGAACTAGATTGGTGATAGTGAGGGGAATTTGGTTTTTTGGTCTCAATGGGCTTAATTACTTTTGACTATTAATTCTAAATTTTTGCTTTACAATAATGAAATTTGACAAAATACCAGGTATTAGAAATAACTTAGTCTAATTAAAGTGTGCTGACTGTACTAAACATTAGTCATTTGTTAGACAAAACTTTGCTTTGTAAATTGATCAAGGTTTTCACAAGTAACCAGTCTGTGCATCTTGTTTGGTTTAACTGACAATTAATAATACTATGTGTCTGCCTCCTTGTAGGGCCTTTTCCTTGCGATATTTGTGGACGCCAGTTTAATGATACAGGAAATCTGAAGCGCCATATAGAATGTACTCATGGAGGAAAGAGAAAATGGACATGTTTCATCTGTGGAAAATCCGTTAGGGAACGGTAAGGAGTTGCATGACTGCTTGAACTTCAGCAGAACAGAGAAATATTTAGCGTGCTTTGTTTGATTCTGAGTATGCTTTAGCTTTGAGTTTTTAACATAAATGAGACCATTTCAGAGGGCTAGTGTATTAAAAGGTAGTGTCAGAGCCACAGTAGCATGTGATTTTCTGATGATCTCTAAAATTAAGGGTGACAACTCTAGGTAATTATGAGGCAGAACTATATTAAGAAAGTCTTACCTTTAATTCACTTCACTTAGGGATCCTGT